TAACTGGGCAGGGATCAAGCCCGCAGCCAACCGAGATAGGAGGTACATGCCCTTGACCAGGAATCAAACCACTAAGCAGAACTGCCCAGAGCTAATAACTACCCTCTTGATGCAGAATTTCACTTAGCATCTTTGTGATTAGTTTTCTTTTAATCCAATAATAAAATTTTCCTTCCAAAGAATGATGAAACTTTGAAAATTAGAGAATTTCTTTTTATAGGTTTCACAAACTCAGACCAGAAAAAAAGTAAACCATTCTATCACAAAACTGTGGGGGGAAAAGTAGGTTAAATGACTATTATGCCTTTTTACATTTATTTGGTTGACTTTTTAAAGATGTACAGTAACTCCCCCATGATCATTCTCATATATTAATCACACAGAGGAAAATTATAGTTTTACAATAGGGAACCCTCGCTGACATCACCTTAAGCAGGTGATCGAAGTTAACATCAACATTAGTGAGACATATGACATCACGTACCCCTGATATGATGTTACTGAGAAGGGCCCAACATCATTCTGCAGAATTCTCACCCAAAATGCATATCTTCAGTTTAATCACGAAAGGATATCAGACCAATCCAAGTTGAGAGACTTCTTCGAAACAACCAATCAGTACTCTAAAAGCGCCAACGTCATAAAAGACATGGACTGACCGTCACAGATTGGCGGAGGTTTGGGAGGCATGAGTCAATCCATCCTGGATTCAATTCTACAACAGAATTGAATTCCGATCCTAGTGGAAAATTGGTGCAACCAGGATAAAGTCTACAGTTTAGTTAATAGCATTTTACCAGTATTCATTTTTCAGTTTTATAATGGAACTGTGGTTTTGCAAAATATTAACATAGAGGAAGCTGGGAGAAGCCTACACAGAGCTCACTGAACTACCTGTGAAAGTTTTCTGTAAGTCTAATATTGTGTCAAAATAAAAGTTAAGAAAAAGTTGTCATCTTTATCCTCATGAAAGTGACTCTGTAACATCCTAAGTTCTCTAAATTTTGTGGACACATGAAGGATTAATGACCAGGGAGGACGGAGTAGGTTAAAAATGGACAAAGCAACTGGCCAAATGTTTGGGCAAACGACAGGATCAAAGGAAATGTGCCAGATGTTTTCCACTCGCTCTACGCAGGGAGGCACCCCACTCAGCAGGGGCCCACTGTAAAGAGAAACCGGAGACACAAACTCTGATTTCACCCTAACATAGTGACCTATAAATATCTTCTTTCTTAAGACTCCTATTTCCCTTATTCTTTCTGAATCCTCTAGATAAAGTCCAACTGCTGTGCTTATGTATATGCCCATAAGCTCACAGAAATGTCTTTTAACTAATTTCAATCCAGGAAAGTACCAATTAACATGTCATTAAAAGTTCCTAAACTTGGTCTTTTCTACAAAATCGTTACTTTCCAGTCATCATTTTCATTTTAATAGAATCATTCTCATTCTAGTTATGATATGAGGAAACCACATCCCCTTTACAAAAGTTTAACATTGTTGTAGAATTAGAATGCCCAGGATAACCTTGGTTAGCTTCTATGTTTGTTTTTGGGGAAGAGTTGGTTCTTTTCTTCTTCTATTTTTATCCTCTCTCAGGAAGTTTATGGCATAATGAGATAAACATAAGAAATACTCATGGCCATTTAACACTACACCTTCACAGAAAAATGTGGTATATCTTATCTGTATATAGCTTAGAAGATCTTTGAAACAAGATATTCAGCTTTCTCTTCAGCTACTTTTCACTTTGTAAGTGAAGTTATTTTGTATGTATGTCAACATGTTCACCGTGGACTATGAATGAGGGTGTAGAAGCTTAGTCTCTATAAAAGGCACATGATTCTAAAGACAATTCCAACCATTTGTTGTAACAGAACTGAGAATGTATAAGCCTTCATTCTCGTTTTTCTTTACAGGATAAAATGTAAAGGACAGAATGTTAAAAAAAAAAAAAAAAAGATAAAGAATTACTTCTCTTCCCAACAAATACTTAGTATTCTTGAATCTCTTTCCTGCATGAGCAAGTTGTAGGGATTGGTACCAAGACTATCTTACTCTTCTCCTTACATCAACACTGTGGTTAAAAGTGGTAATAGTAATAATACAGCTAACTATTAGATGCTTCCTTGGGTCAGACACTATTCCAAGCAGCTGAAGCAAGTTGCCTAAGGCCACATGGTAGTAAAGGGTGTAGGTGGAGTCTGACCCAAGCCTGAGTAACTGGTGCTCTATACTGGATACTTACTTTAATAAAACATAATGGGCAGGCCAGAAAGAAATTGCAGTGGACACCCTGCTTCAGTGTTGAAGATTAACAGGGAGAAGCTTGCGATTGAGCAGCCTTTACTCAGCTTCAGCGAGTGCTGGCAGGCGCAGTGGAGGCCTGAGCTGCTGAATCATTTGATTTTCTCTCTTTTCTCTCCTTTCTCTGTTTCTCTCTCTCTCTCTCTCTCTCTCTCTCTCTCTCTCTCTCTCTCTCTCTCAAAGTGGCAGTCTAGATTTATGTCTTGATTTTGAAATGTTACTGCTTATTTCAAACTTTTTCTAAAAATCCTAGTGGTCTGAAAGGTAAAGGGACTTGGTTTCATTTATCTTTGAATACCTAATCCCTAATGTGCTGCTGGCACATAGTAGGTGCAAAAAGGTTGCCTTCTGCTGTTACAACCCCTGCCATTTTATATTTGTGGTAGGAATTCATTAATTTATTCACCAAATATTTACTGAACTACTACAATGTGCCAGACACTGCTCTAGGCACTTGGGATACAATAGTGAAGAGAAAGGGGAGAGAGAAGCAACAGAGGATAATATTTTCGTGGGAGAAACAGGCCAAACGAAAACAAAAGCACATAAAGTCAGATGGAGTGGAGGATTGGAAAATAAGGAGATGGTTTGCTTTGAATTGAGCCCATGCCGCCCAGAGCTAAAGAATGAAACTTAGGAAGTTAGATACAATAGTCCATGCTTCCTAGTGCCATACTGGTCACTACTCCACAAATATGTCACACATATGTAAGCAATTTAAAGAAAAGGGTCAGAGAGAGAGAGAGAGCGAGTGAGAGAGAGAGAGAGAGCTTTCTTCATAAGGAGAACAATAAGATCTTGCTCCTTGGCTTGAAAGGAAGTATTGATCAGTAGTTAGTGAGTCAAAGGTTAATAACTTGGGCTTGATTATTTCTGTTATCTGACTCATGATTGATGATGTCCTCTGGCTCCACTAAAGACAGGAGCCCCCTTTTGATTGCTGTTACTGGGAACCAAGGAATTAAGCCATTCTCTAGTCATTTAGTTGCAACAGGGGCAGGGGTCGTCTATCTCCTGCATCAGAGGGTGAGTGGCACAAAGGTCCCTACAGAGAGGGTACAGGGCAGTCACCAAAAATGCAAACTTGGAGCAACATAAATCTAACTGGCAACTGGCGTGGCAAAACGCTAGCTAGCTCTGACACACAACTCTTCTGCTCTCATGTATTATCATTCCATAAGACCACATGCTGAGTTAATGGAACTTGTCCTCCAGTTTGCTTTGGAAACGGATGTAGTTTCAAGTAGCCCAAATGGCACAATCTGGCTCTTGCTCCTGGACAGCTGCTGGGAGCTATAGACAGGACAGCTATCCCAGATGAGGCATATGCTTCCTACCGCCAAGTTGTATCTAAAAATGCACAAACCTGGTCCCCAGCTTCTCATCAAATCACTCACATCTATTTAGTATTCATAATTTGAGTAATTAGAGTCAATGATTATGCTTAGAAAACACCCTAAAGACAAATGCAAGTGTGTATGTTCAAGCAGCTTTAAAATAATGTGCACAGCCCCTAAGACTGGAAGGAAAATGTTATTTTCTCATTGTCTTTATATATAAAAATTAGATTTTACTCAACCTGCACTTTTTTGGAAAAAACAATATTTTCTTTGTTAGTCAAGCCCAAAACATATCTCATGCCAAGGCATTTTGTTCTTGTCATGGATACTAGCCAAAAAGATATTCCTTGAAATAAAAGTCACAATCTGTTGAAAGCCTCACAAGTCCACTAAATTAGGAAACAAGTAATCATTATCACATAACTAAAAAGCATGAGAAAAAATTAATGACAAAATAAATTTGCAACTCCCCACTTGTAAAGAGAACCATCAATGGATCCATAGCTGCAAAATAGCCACATTTAAACAAATAAAATTTCCCCTAAATATGTGTCAGATATCAAACCATCCTACTATCAGTGAACTACCTTTGTCTACCCACAGAAACTTCCTAAAAGTCTAACATCTTTGGTTTCCTTCATGGAAGTTTCATTGGCCTTGATCTTGCATCAAATAGATGGAAACTGATAGACTAATTTAACACAGATTCCTGACGTATTACATCTAAACTGCACATAATGAGATGGTTATAGGTCTTTTGACCCAAAAGAAATGTTATAATTGCATTTAAAGAATAGTCAATATTAGCAATAATGAAATAATACCAATGTATTTATACAATTGAAAGTTTTTTTTAAATATATATAAATAAAATTGTTTATAAACGTCAACTGAGATTTACTTTTTGGAGAATCTCTCCATCTAGGACGCATTCGTTCAGGTGGCATGGAGTTACCTAAGAAGCTCTGGATAGGAGTCGAGGATTTAGGATAATGTATTGTAAATTCTTTACTTTCTGCTTGTGTTTCATTTTAAATGCCTTTTTAAAAATTCTCCAATACCTCCACGGGTGAACCTGGCAAAGACGAGGCAGATGCCTGCTATCACCAAGTTGTCTCAAGAACACAACTCTGCTACGGATCACTGCCTTCAACCGTGGCGGGTGCGACTTCGTGCACTTCCCACTTTCAATCAAGAACAATGCAAAGAACAGCAGGCTCACTCCCCTGTCCACCAAAACTTGCAACAACAATCAAGGGATGGTGGAGAGATGCCCAGGCAGAGAACCCCGGGGCCAGCCGGAACCCCCCAGCCCGGAAAGCCCTGCTCCCCCCCGGAGCGGCTCAGTACCTGCTGCCCGGGTGGCTGGCGGCGGCGCGGGGCGCGCAGCGCGGCTCGGAGCTGGGCGGCTGGGAGCGGGCGTACGAGTGGTAGGCGGTCAGCACCACGCCGCCCGAGTCCTCCACTTCCATCGTCAGCCGCGCATGTCCTGGCTCCCGCCCGAGAACAAAGGCGGGGACCAGCATGGATCAGCACCGGGACCCCGTCACCAGCGGGGAGGCAGGGCCCATCCAGCTCCCGGGGGCTCTCTCCGGGCTGTCAGGGCAGCCGGCCCCGCCCGCGGGGCAGCCCTATTAGCATAGATTGCAAAACACGCCCCGGAGCCCTGGAGGGGGGGTGGGGGGCCCTGAGGACGAGGTGCTGGGGTGGGATCCCTGTCTCTAGGAAACTGGAAACCGGCTGTGATCCTTCAGGGCTCGGGCGAGCTGCTCTGGTCAATTTTTTTTCTTGCTTTGTTTCTTTTCCTTTTCCTTTTCTCACCTCCCCCCTTCCACCGGGAGGCTTATCCGATCGCTAGGAACATTTCCTGCCTGGTAGCCCGGAGTGAGAGAAAGAAACCCTGCCCGGGAGGCCGGGCTGAGCCGGAGAGCAGCCAGGTCCACGCTTGTGGTCTGGGAAGAAAGGAAGAAAATGCGACTCTCATTTAAAGCATCCACATCAAAAATGGAAGAGCCGGATTACGTTGCTGTGTACTTAGTCAAGTTACAATAAACTTGCTTTCCTTTCGGGCAGGTAATTCCCGCTTACGGCAGGCAGAACATGTCCCTCCCTTGCCCTCAAGGCCACAACAACCAGGCTCTGACCTCACTCCCACATCCCTTTCCTCCTCCCAGTCCTGATCAAATGAACAGACCGCTTTCAGCTGGCCTGGAAATCAGGCTTCGTGAGCTGAAGCTTGTTACTGCCAGAGGTCTTGATGGGAGGTTGAGGAGGGGGGTGGCTGGCTGGAAAGAGCCTACCTTGACTCTGTCTTTCACACCCTGACAAGGTGTGTTACCTGCTGTCTCTTACACTCCCCTGGGAGCTGGGTAGAATGGAAAGAGGAGTTAGTGCACCCCTGGCTGAGGGATGGCCTGTTATGCTACTTAACATCTCAGAATCTGCTTCTGCATCTGTGAACGGGGAAAAGAATATTCTTTCTTCTCAGGGCATTAGAAGCACCAACGACCTGCTAAGTTCTCAAGAAACATGGTTCTCTCTGCTACTTCCTTTACAGCCATCCAGGGAGACATTTGTTTTCACTGCAATTTCAGAGGTTGGGAAAACAAAACATTTTTCACCCAAAATGCTTTTTTAAAACATGTTTTGTTGATTAAAGAAAGGGTGGGACAATAACTAACATTTACCAAAATACTCATGTATTGGACCCTGTACATTAGCTCTTTAAACAACTCTCTGAGGGATTATTACCAGAATTTTTTGACTAAAGAAACTTATCAAGCACCCGTGTATGGAAAAGGCACTGCAAAGGTTCTTTCATTCCCCAAAACTTGCAGACACAAAGAGACATCTGTTTACCTACTGTGTCTAATGCCAAATACATTAAAACTATGACAATACTTTCTTAAAATGTGAAATAATAAAGACATAGTGTAAGTATGGATACATGTCCACAATGCCTCATCTAAAACCTTGGAACCAGAGACATTTCAGAATCTATTAATATTTTTTCATTTTAAAAGTAACGTGGTGCATGCACCATTTAACATAGAACACCCTCTGCCCGGTACAATTAGTGACAGCACTCTGTATTTAAACATATTTTCTTTAGCAAAAAGAATTGACCCTAAGTGCAATAAAGTCTATGATTGGTCTCACATCAATTCAGGTCAGGTTTATCACCAAATAAGTTTTGGCACCAAACTTTTTTTTAAAAGGTGTACTTTTTACAGCTTTTCGAATTTTGGAACTACCATAGGAATTATAGTAGTGGAACTTTTTATGGGTATGGGATTTCTCCTTGGAATTTTTTTTTTCTTTTCTAAACTACAGACTCACAATTTTAAATACCTGCAGGGTACTTCCTTGAATGCACTTCGGCCGTAACTCTGCCTCAAGATGTCCAACACCACAGTAGCACTCCCTCACGCTTGGCATCATAACCCTTCTTCTTCTTCTCCTGTATATTCAAGCTTTACACACCCTGGAGTCACTTTGACTCCTCTCTCCAATCGATTATCAAATCTGTCAATCCTTGCTCAAAATGTCTGCCAACCATTCCCCCTATTCCCACTGCTACTGTCTTTGTTCTCCTATCACCATCTCTTGCCTGGCGATGGCAATCCTTCCTTGACATCGATTACTTTCAATCACCTCCCCTTAAACCCTGCCCCTATTCCAAGTGCTGATAGAGTGATTTCCCTAAAGCACAGGCCCGCCCCTTCTCAAGTGTCCTCAGCTGTAACCCACTTACTACAAAATAAAGTTGGAACTTGTTAGAACAGCTTCTCATTAATGTTTTGGTCACCTAAAACTTTCTCGCTCCCAAAACCCTATGGCCCATTCACACTAGCCTGTCCTGCACTCTTAGTTTGCCTTTGCTCCTGCCTGTCATTTTCCCCTTAAGAACCCTCTATCTGCCGAAACCGGTTTGGCTCAGTGGATAGAGCGTTGGCCTGCAGACTGAAAGGTCCCGGGTTCAATTCCGGTCAAGGGCATGTACCTGGGTTGCGGGCACATCCCCAGTGGGAGATGTGCAGGAGGCAGCTGGTCGATGTTTCTCTCTCATCGATGTTTCTAACTCTCTATCTCTCTCTCCCTTCCTCTCTGTAAAAAAAAAAAAAAAAATCAATAAAATGTATTTAAAAAAAAAAAAAGAACCCTCTATCTAACCCCATAAAGCAGTGGTTCTCAACCTTCCTAATGCCGCGACCCTTTAATACAGTTCCTCACGTTGTGGTGACCCCCAATTTCATTGTTACAAATTGAACATAATTTTAAAAAAGTGATTAATCACAAAAACAATATGTAATTATATATGTGTTTTCTGATGGTCTTAGGCGAACCCTGTGAAAGGGTCGTTCGACCCCCAAAGGAGTCGTGGCCCACAGGTTGAAAACCACTGCCATAAAGGCTTCTCAGGTATTCCTAATTCAAAGTAAGCCCTCCTCTGGCCTCTTGTGAAAATTGCTCTTACTTCTGTGATAGGAATAATAGCATTCTGCCGTGGAGTAAAGCACAGTTACCCGGATCGCAGTGTGTACACACTCTGCTCCTGTGCCCACCTCACACGTAATGATTCCATCAGACTGGTTTTTGCCACTGAGCCCAGATGTGCCCACAAAATTCTTCAAAACTGAGTCCCCAGCTGCAAGATAACTTTGAGACAAAACTATTTGCCAACCCAAGATTGTATTACTGTTTTCAACAAGTTAGTGCCTTTTCTTACATTGTAAGCTATTGGAGGGCTAGTGTCATATTTTTGTCATTATGTCACAGAGCCCATCGTGTTTTGCAGAGTAGGCAATCAATAAGGCATATGTGTTCAATGAATGAACATATGAATCTAATAATGAATCAGTGGATGAAATAGCACTCTCTAGTGCAATATTTCTGTTCTTTCAGAGTAGCCAAGGAATTATTATTATACATGGTTCATGAGTCTATATGACACTGCAAACTAAAAAAAAAGTTTTTCACATGTATGTATTAATATTTTTCAACTGGGGATATACGCTTAATAAAATACAACTCTGTAAGTATTCTTGAGTTTTCAGGTTTCATAAAGATGGTAGAGTGCACATCCTATATAATAAAAGCATAATATGCAAATCGACCGAACAATGGAAAGGTGGGTCAGTGGGGAGCGGGGCTGGCAAGCAGGGGGTGCCAGACCAGCCAAGGTGCATTCCAGTGAGCAGGGGGCCCGTGGCTGCAGTGAACAGTGTCGATGGAGGGGTGATGGAGGACCAGCGCCATCCCCTGATTGGCCGCTGGTTGCCTCCCACAGAGGGAGGCTGGACTGAGGCTTAGGCCTGCTCCCCCCGAGGGAATGGGCCTAAGCCATCAGTTGGACATACCCTGAGGGCTCCTGGACTGAGAGAGGGCGCAGGCCGGGCTGAGGGATCCCCCCTCCCCCCAGAGTGCACGAATTTTTGTGCACCAGGCCTCTAATATTACATACTATAGAATACTCTATGCAAGATAGCCTCTGTTTGCCCTCCAGACCCACTTGCTACCCTCACTACCCTGCTTAGTCCTGGTGTCTGCATCCATGAGCTCCTTTGCCTCTACCTTCAGGAAAGGGGCACCCAAGGAGAGGTGCCACCAGATGATCTAGAGAGGGAGGAGGGAAAACCAGGTTGGGTGTTTATTTCCCAGGCTTCTTCTCTGCTGTTTTGCTGTTGTCTGGTTCCTTTTACAAAGTCATAGTTCCTGACTGCAGCTCTCTCCCCTGCTGGTCTCTCTGGAGTCCTGTAACACTACCTCTACCTGGCCCTTCAGATCTAGGGGTGGTAACAGTGCTTGGGTCCATCAAGAAATCCCTCTGTCTTCCCTCCTGCAAAATCCCTAATTGGTCCCTCACCCCACCCACACCTTTATAGACAGTTCCCTTTACTGAGTGTCCCATCTCTTCCTGCCAAGATCCTGACAGATACATATCAGAGATTTAGGCAGTATCCTGTAGGCAAAAACATTAGAATGTCTGCAGTGAGGGATGAATATACACACCATGAGGGATGAATACAAACAATAAACACTCTCATGTCAGTCAGTTCAGGTATTTTTTCACCAAATAAGTTCAGGTCTGAACAAGTTTTGCATTCAAATTAGTTACAAAAATTTTTCAGATTTAAGAGCTTTTTGCATTTCAGAATTATAGCTATAGGATTGTGGACCTGGGGTCTGTGAACACTCTTGCATGCTGGGAATCACGGGGCTAGGGGATAGCAGCACAGGACTGTGACAACTGGTTCAGCGCAGAGTAACAGGGAACCCTGCGAAAGATTCTTCATCTGGGAACTGGGCTGATAAATCGCCCCCCTGGTGGACAGTGGCCATTCAGGCTCAGAAGTAGCATTTCCAGT